CTGGTCTAATAGTATACATGATGGAAAATAGTGAGTTTCAGACTCATCTGTGAAGCAGAAACGAATTTCAAAGATTTGGTAATATTGCCTTCAAACGAGAAAAAGAAAATCCTCTACTTAAGGAAGCGTTGCCGAACAATTTGAATTTAATCTAAGTTTAACTCGCTATTTTCGGTCTTCGCATTAAGAACATGACTTTCCTCTCATCAATGTAACATCCACACGACCACAGCTATCCTAACGCGAATGATAAAAATGTTTAAGTGGAGTAACCCTTCTGTCATACGTTTCGTATTTATTTATATTTATTTATATTTCTTTCGTTAAAAAAAAATTAAAAAGGAACGTCCAAGCACCAGGAATATGCTGGCATGTGGAACGACTTTTTGTAGAAATTGAAGAGGAAATAAAGATGGCGTTCAACACTAAAAACAAACATGCAATTTGGGCGGCACGTAACTACCGTCCTTGGAACTTTTTTCTCTGTTCTTTGCGAATGTTTCTGAATGTTTTTGGATGGGCAAACGAGTAGAAGCAGATGTGTGTTGACCTGTAATATTCTTGAAAGATGGGAAACGACTGTTTTCAAATTATTAAAAACAGGAAAGCATTGGTATAGACAAGAATCGTTTTCTAAATTAAAGTTAAAACCTTAAGAACTGATCTTCTGACCTCCCCCCTTTCTACGTGTCTTGCCTGCAAAGGTTTTACGTCAGTTATATTGGATACTACAATATGCAAAGCAATTTTTGTAACAGTTGTTTACACGTACAAATTTCTAGTTCTTGTTATTCTGTAGAACTTCATATGACAGACTTATTAGATATGGGTTCTTATCAAGTAATCAACATTAATATTGAAACCATTTGTTGCAATATATTTTGCACTTTTTTAGATTGGAATTTTCTGTGATATTTTCAAACGTTTAGCACCTTATTCTAATTTTCCTTTTCTGTTTAACGGTTGTAGCGAATATATGTTACTGATCACGCGATTGTAACGTTGGCCAGTATAGTCTTTTTCCTCTCAGCTGATCATTTCACGGTTGATAAAAGCCCGAGAGGTTGAAGTGCTTGAAGAGAAGTAATCGTAATCAAGACATGATACACCGCTCGTTTACTAAATCCAATGATATATTAGTTCGTTTTATACATAAAGAAGATTGCAATTGCTACTGAAACACTTCTTTGTTCGGGCGACACTCGGAAATGATAATGACAAGATGACCAAGATGTTGTCTTTTTGTCGCTTCGCAAGACCATTTGACGCAAGTAGTTTCATAAGTACCATGGCTATAATATGAAGAATCTTTCAAACTATTCACTGCAATAACCTTAAAACCAATAACGGTAAAATGAACTAAATGGGGCCAATATTTCATCACATCGTAAACATAAGCACATCCATTTAGAACTCCTATATTGAATACGTTGCTGCACCCCCAGTCTTTCAGTGAACTTAAATATACTTTCCTCTAATGAATTTCTCTAGGGATTGTTTCCACCCTCAGTTATGAAATCCCATGTTTTCAAGGCAAAAGTAAAAGTTGATAGTTCCCTAGTTAGAAAAAGATCAAAACACCAAGATGCATGAGAGTCGTGCTGGATAAACCTTATTAACCACTATCATAGGTTCGTAGACTTTATTTGCTTAGAGCTTCATATCTGCTTAGGAATTCATTACTTGACAGTATTATTAGTAACTGTTATGTGTGAGTACTTCAAGGATACTTCAAGATATGAATACTTGATTTATCTTGCAGTGCTGAAAGAGAATGAATGAAATCCATCACGTACACCTGGAATCATCTCCTCCAGACATGAGATATTATAACAAGGTAAATTTTTTTTTTATTTTATGGCACGGGAGTAAAAGTGGAGATTGGATATTTCATTACTCACTGGAGGGCATACACTTCTCATCATATATAGCCATGGATAATTAAACTAATCCGTTTCTATGACACATCTAACATGAATAATATCGGTGTGTTTCCTTTTATCAAAAAGAAATTATTTTTAATTTATTCCCCACATCAATGAGAAATAACATATTATTGCATCATCTTTCTCAATTTGTCATTTTACAAACCACGATGTTTTGATTTTTTTTTAAAGGTAAATTTTGAAACATTTACACATCCGCACTTCTAGCATTTTGAACACGACCAATGATTGTGACGGTTTTTTACCGTTTACAAAACGCTTCCGGAAAATCCGGTTAGAAAATTGGTAGAACAGTACCCCATTGGAAAATTTCCTAAACAAACAGGACGTCTGAAAAGGTATTCCTGTTTCCCATTAAAAAAACAAGTTCCATTTCAAGTCTTCAAACCCACCTTTTTGACAACAGTTTTAGGCTTCCTTATATAGAGCCTTTTCACTCGACGAAAAGTTGCAAATTTAAAAGGGATTCGACTTCTATTGAGAATCCTGTGTCATTGACTGAAAAATCATTTCTCTCTTATGTACATGTATTCACCGCGCTCAAAATTCATCATCAAATCTCTATCTTTTCTTTTTCTCTATTTCTTTTTCTTTTACCCAACGTCTGTTATTCTACAACCATGAGGTGACCGGACGATTGTCGCATGTTTGTAACCAGCCAATAAAAGCGTATGTTTTCAGTAGTTTGCCACAAGTAAAGAGAATTTTGTAACCGATCAAAAGTTTTAATTAGACCTTAGCTGCAGTCAGGTTATGCCGCTTTTATCTCTGTGTAAGTCACGTTGTGAATTTTCTTCCGATGTTTGGAGAGCAATAAAAAAAAAGCTAGAGTTGCTCTCGGCTACTAGGCCTGGAACAACGCTTGGGCTTTCCTCGCTCGATAAGCACAGGATGATTGCGAAAATAACCAGTTCTTAAAAGCCAGAATTTTAGCCAGTGTTTCATTGTTATGCGAGATTCCGCCCGTGATTATCTTTAGAAATCGGACAAGGAAGTGAACAATATTACAGGAATTTAAAATAATAAATCACAACTTTGAATTCACAACTGACTTAGTATTAAATTGTAGAGGCTAGCTCTCAACTCTGCCGTTGCTTAGAAGTTGGAAAGTCTACTTGTTTATCGTGGATTCAAATTCCGTCTGATTCTCAGAGTCCCCCTTGAGGTTCTCTACAACGTCTTATACAGCTACAGATTTATACAGGTTCCGCCCCGAGGCTCAACCCTTTCATATGTCGGTTTTAACAGAAAAAGTATCCGTTTCTTAGACCTACCCAAGAAGAATAAAATGATAAAACAGGAAATCTGCTGGTAATGTTCACGTGGTGTTGAATAAATTAAAATCAAATAACCATAAAGTGCGTCTTTTCGGAATACATCATCGGAAGCCTTTAAATAAGCCAATAAATGATTTTCCTATATTTTCATCAGCATACTTCATCCACTTAAGAAAGTTAGCACATGTGAAGGTAGACGTTTAAAAAGGACCTTATTTTGCTCACAACTGATATTAGTTGCCATTTTATTAGCTTGTTTGTCTCGATTCAATAGACAGTGTAACACATCAAATAAGATACATTGTGTTCTGATAGATGGTATTAAGAACATAATATTTGTTTTAATTTATACGCTTGTACGTATATCTCCTTCATGCTTGACTAGAATAGATTATAACTAGCTACTTTTAGGCGTACAAATATTCTTAAGTTTGACTTTTAAAGAAATAATGTGTGTGTGTATGTGTGCATGTACGTTTGTAGAACTTCACAACAAAAACGTCTTTTCTGAATTTATAATATACGCTTTCCTGACAATCAATAAAAAGTAATCCTGAAACTATTTGCACACTATATTTTAAACTCTTTTGATATTTCCAAACGACTACCTCCTAACTGAACCAATTTCACTATTCTTTAACATTTAGAAAGAGGTTTAAAAAATCAAGTGGGTGTGGCTTTAGCATGTTTTTACTGAACAGTTGAGCTTGGATTGGTTGAAGTATTTTGATAACAAATAGGACGTGATACATCGCTCGCGTTTGTACAAGCCACTCCTTTATCAGCAAGAGCAGATCGCAATGATTTTTTGAACACCTCTCTCCTCGGCGGGATCAGAAATGACCCTTGAGCATATAGCTTGATGCTGTCGCGCTAATCTGACGCAACGGTTATATACACTGATAGGAAAAACCGAAGATAATCTATTGCGCTATTCAATGCCATAGTCCAGCAAAATCTATAATGGATAAAACTAAACAAAACTTTTGGAGAGGTCCTTTCCTCGGTGAGATAAAAAATGACCCCTTACTATATGTCTTACATAAGACTGTCGCACGTATAATCACATGTGACCCAACAGTTTTTATAAACTGGAAAAACACGGGAGAACACATCGCGCTATTCACTGCAATGACCTCAAAAGCAATAATTGATAAAAGTAAATGAAACTTTTGGACAGTTGTGCTAAGAATCACTTTGGTGCAGCGCTAAGCACGAAAAGAAATAGAGCGCTCCTCAGGTCAAATTACGGTTGATTTGAGCTGGAGAGATTAAAGTGCTCCTAAGTTCAATTGTCGGGTTGATATGATCAAAGAAACTTGAAGTACTTCTCAGTAAATTCACGATTGATATTAGCAGTAAAACTTGAAGAGCGTGAAGTGTACTGAAAACAAGCAAGACGTGATGAACCGCTCGTTTGTTTAAGCCCCGCCTCTGCTGCAGACTATTTGTACGAAGGTATCGCACAAGTCTTGTCACAGCTCCGAAGACTGTGGAAGTCATCGCTTCTAGAAAGTCAACTGCAAGAAATCCCTAGTGACTTTGAGGTAAAATAACGCTAAAACATATACAAATAGACGCTTTAATTTCTAGATTGCCAGGCTTATTGAGAGAGCTTATGATTTACTTTGCCTACGGCGTTCTCTTTTTCTAGCACCATTTTTACCAGTCTTAGTCTTATTAACATAGGGTATGCACAGCCTCTTGACAAAGCCCAATAAGATAGGGTCACTTTTAACTTTTGAAAGCTGCCTGAGATGTGAAAAAGAGCCCGCATATGGTCAAACAGTCTTGCAAACCCGTGTTGATAACTTGTCGGTAAATACACGGGCAAATAGTCAGCTGATCGAGTATGGACAATTGCAGTTAGGGCGTTGTTAGCTCGTTAAGGCCAACACTCAAGATATACGGGTTTCCATATGCAATAAACCGAAACAATTGACCTCATGGTAATGAAAAAAAATTATCGTTCAGTATTTCAAATTAAATGAACGTTGGGATCGACCAACTAATCGTAATTGAAAATTACGTGGGTACGTAAGCTAGTTTAAACATGCCCAGAAACTATTCGCCTTTCAATTTTTACTTCAGCCCCGCCGCAGAAATTCCCAAAAGAGGTAACCCTCGGATTTTTTTTTTCTTATTTTCATAAAATTTACTATTTTCCTATTGTTTGGGGATTTTTACATACTCATTAAGGCTTCAAAAATAGCAGCTTGTTTTCTTTTTTTCCTTAGAATTGTGAAACAAGATAAGATGAATTCCATTACTCTGGTTGCCATTCTTCTTGTTGGTTGCGCCGTGGTCAGTGAAGCAGGGTTGACATGCCCATGTAAGATCAAAATGTTTTTTCCAATTTATTTTTTCGCAACCAGCTAGACGCAGTTTATTTCCTTGCACTCCATGTCAAGAGTTTTACAGGCGACAGCAAAATTATTGTGAAAAAGTCCTCACGTCACAAAAGCAACATAGAGAAATTCAAGAAAATTTCGTATGAACACGGAATAGCCGATCTTGTTTGTTATTATTATAATAACTGTTATTTATTTATTTATTTTTACCCTTGTTGGTGATTAGATAAATTTCACCACAGAATAGTACTGCTTCTGAACTTTCGCACAATTTACCAAGACAGCTTGAGTATTGAGATGCTAGAACTGACTGCGCAAGGCGATATTATACTTAAAACTAGTCTTTCTGGAATTTATATTAGACCACTTTTATATTTTGGATCCTAATTCTGTTGTACTGATGATGCGTTGATATATCTAGGTTTCCCGAGTAAGAGTTCTGGAAGGATGTTAGTGGTTAGTATTACACCTGCACACTCTTTTAGTTTTTTGTTTTGTTTCATTGTTAAAAACACTAATCAATCATAATTTGATTTGAATTTTGGATAATTACTTGCTACAAACTTTTTAAACTTGAAGTTAACTAAAATCCTACAAGACAGCCATGTCACAAAATCTACCCCCATCCCCGGCCCCGATCGGAAAATCGACTTCGAGTCAATCGTGGGATTATGTATTTGTTTGTACACCATATGTATAATCTGAAGTAAGTTAAAAGGTTTGGTAATTGTACTTTTCTCTCTTTATAGTTCGTCAAGCACCTATTTGTCGACATGCCTTATAATCTGGATTTGAAACTTCAGCGTTTTCAAAGTGATATGAAGATTTACACCAAGACAAGCAGATATCCGTTGCGCGTCAATTTGATCATTGACTACAAAACCGTATGTGAATATACATACATTTACTTTTTAAAAAACTTCATAACAAAAACCAGACATTTTCGCACATAATGAAGCAATACAAAACGTCTTACCTAAATTAAGCGCGAAAATTCAGAGATCGTATCATAACTATTTGAAGTGAGTTTTACACTGTGATGTAAATGATACTTAGTCGTATTCCGGTTTTAAAATGTGAGTTTATTGATGAATATAAAGATTATTAAAATGGACATGAGAAATAGGATTAAAAAGATTGAAGGTTGAGGTTTAAGTGGGCATTCAGTTGATGGCACGTGAGTTTTTGGGTGACGTTGATTGGAAATAAGAGAAGAACAGAGGTTAATTTCATGGGCCACTGATGAAAATCGATTGTGATAGCAGTTTCTTACAGTGCGTCCCTTGCACATCTCCCATAATGCACCTTCTTTGCCCCTCTGCCCCTCCTCCCCCCCAAAAATTGCATAACCCTTGTTTTTCATTTCTCCTGGTATTACAGCCGTCCCAAGAGAAACTGAAAACAATGCTTATGCGAAATTTTTGGGGCAAATAAGGTACATTACGAGAGATGCACAAGTTGGCGAATGATAAAGGTATATTTAATCGTTTTATTGACAAGCGCTGACATTAATACCTTCAGTAATATTTCGCTATGTTTGGTATCATTTCATAGAAAAGAAAATACTTGCTTGTTCACGGAAGGTGCTTTGTGTTACAATACGAAGAGGAAATCCCAGGTGCTGACCAGTTGAAATTTTTGAAGCTCATAGCTAAGGGAAGGCTGGGAATGGTCGGAGCCGAAGTCGGCGTTTACATCTTCAAAAAGGGTTTAGGTAAGTAGAGAAGACACTGGGAAGAGGAAATTAAAGAAACTGAAAAACCAAAAGTACTAAAATCAAGGAACAAAACTTTCAAACTTTCTTGTGTGAAGTACCCTTTTACAGTCAGTCTTAAGTAAACAAACAAACTTCCATCCATTGATTCAAACAATAAACTTATAACGAGTTTTGCATTCTTGCATCACACATTCAGATGGCCGAGAAACGAGGCGAAGCCAGAGTTTCTTCGATCGACCTTAGGTGTAAGAATAACATATATTATTAACTAAATCAAGAAGTACGAACAAAGGAAAGCACTACCGTGACAAAGGTTTGGAAAATGGATCTCGATGAAGGTTTGCCCAAATTTAGCTTTTGTTTCTCTTAATAGTTTTTCTGCTGCACTTAAGAAGCTATATCAAACAAGTGGTTTACCCAATATCCACACACCACGATGTCAAACGAAGAGAGGAATTTCTCCTCTCTCGATCAGGCTTTAAAATAATCAGGTTTGGAGGATATCGCATATCACATATCACATATCAAATAACACATTTCATATACCGTACATGACATATCATCTATCACACATGACATATCGCATATCATATATCACATATCACATATCACATATCAGTGTCTGAATATCGGATGAGACACTGCGTGAGTGTTTGATAACCCAGCATTAAAAAAACAGTTGAGTATATTAAAGCCATTTCGAGGCCCAAAATTCAGTTCGAAAGGTTGTAATTTTCTCTTTTTGCTTTCATGAATTATTTAAGATCATAAATAGAAAAGAAACATATTATTATACATAACATAACAGACGGCATCACTTAAGACGATACTTATCCAAAATTCTTGAGGGAAACAAGGTGCATTATGGGACATGTGTAGGTGGCGAATTAGATTACAATCAAGAAGAATCGAGCTTGCGCCAAACCGCACTAAACGAAAAACGATAGATTCGAGAAAGTGGAAATGACACACATTAGGAAATCAGACGAAACTGAGTAAAGTGCTTTTGGATCTGTAATTGTAATGAATAGCAAAGGCAGGTATATTGAAAACGCCTTCAGTTGTACAAGTTGACGTTTGCCGGTCAGAGTACCAATAATAACTTGATGCGTAGGAATTTGGGCTGATATAAACACCATACTGCAATGTATTGAGTTGTAAATTGTTTTTATCCTCAGCAAGTGGAGTCATCACAATGGAAGACAACGATATGTGTCAACCGCAAACTTTTACAGGAAAGGTTCATAACATTGGCCTCACTGTGAGGTAATGATATTCATTAAATAAACAACAACACAATATTATAGTCAGGTAGAAGGCACGTAGTATGCAAATTTCTGAAATAAATCTTAAAGCCAATGGCCAGTATTTCTAAGCCGGGGCTGGAAGTCTCGCTCTATGAGGAGATGATACTGATTTATAGTTAATTGTTGTTCAATACACTTCACATTTTACGAAAGTCATAACTGCCCTGTCTTTCGCGTCACTACGAATGCTTTTGTACGAAAAGGAATATTTGTTAGTTGCAAATGTAATCGTTATGCTTTTCCCTGGGGCGATGGGAAATAAGCTATCAATGTTCAGTAATTATCATTGTTATGGGTAGAGACTTTTTTTTTACATGTGAACCCATTAAGATTTCATTTTTGTATATATATACTTTTATAATTTTTCATCCTGAAATTGTTGCTGCTTTGTTGGTTTTTGGCATGCTTGTTTGTTGTTCTTGGTCTCGTTTGCTTGTTTTGTATTTGTTTTTATCGGATACTCATTACCGAAAAACTTTGACTTAAGCATTTAGTGTATTGGAATTGCACTTTTGCATGTATACTTGCTTGTTTTGTATTTTTTTTTTTTATCGGATATTGATTCCCGAAAAAAGGCTGCTTTTTTAACCGAAGCACTTTGCGCACTGGAATTCCATTTTGTATACTGCATGAATAAAAAAAAAACCTCTGTAAGAAGATGAGCTTATGTCCCTTGAGAGTGTTTAATATGACGTCACGTCAGCCATTTTGGTGTCCCAAAACAATGAAACTGCGGCCATATTAGTGTCCCAAACCAGTTCTGTGGGATTTGAACATTTTTCTTTTGTCAAGACTTTCTTTTGTATCAATTAGTGTACAAAGCAGCTGGCCACGTGGGTGAAAAAGCTCTATACACAGATTAAAATCGGAAAATAAAATTGAACAAAACGAATACTAAAGTGCAAACGGTTTATTTATTTAACAGCTACCTGAACATCAAATCCACCGTCAATCCCTATAAGCTTCGAATTCCGTATATCTGCTCGAAAAGCATTGGTCGCCGCACGTTGGACGACGAAGACGAAGGACCACCGCCAAACGCCAATCCCCCCGTTCCACCACCTGTGATGTAATTTTTAAAAAGTGGATGCCGAAAAGGAAGTTCTGCCCAGACATTCCTTGGATCGATAGAGTAAATGATTAAATAAACCCATTGGCACTATACAGTTGTAGTGTTGATCAGGGAAACCCGGTTGAAGTACAAACTTTCCAAAACAGTTACCTTGGCTTAGGGACAGAGATGAGTGGCCATTATAGAGGAGTGGCTGTTAGAGTAAGTTAGCTCAATAACAACAGCAAATGTATCCAGAGAAATTTAGTACAAAAAGCCAACTATGGTTAGAGCCTTCTTTTTGTAATTGTAACTTGCCATTGGGGTAAGGGAAACAGGAATGAAATGTAATGGTCTGCATGATTTGAATTAAAAAAATGAAATTTGTCAAAACATTTCGTATCTCATTTCCGTTCCATTGGAGACTGTAATAGCAACGGCTTCGCAAGGAAATTCTTGATCACATTTTATTCACCAACCCCATCCCGCGTCTACCCGCTTTGAAGAAATAATAGTTTAATGTTACTAATTAAATGGATTCTTTAAGAAACAAAATCCTGTTTACGGGCAGAAAAATGCTACTGAACGTTGTACTGATAATTTTCAATGCTAACTTACTCGAACTTGTATTTTTACATCTGGTTTGTTCAAAATGATTGGCAACTGATATTGAAACCTTCTTTACATACAGCTGTGATTGAATTTGTGTCTAAGTCGCAAGGTAAGACTTAAACCGCGGTGGGGCCAAAACACTAGTACGCCTTAAACGTGTCATTGGGGCCAAATTTACGTTATATTTTTACGTTATTCTATGCTACCTTTAACTTTTTATTTTCATTTCTTCACCAAATTTGCCATGTAGTCTACGATTGTAGACAAAATAATTTTAAGTTTTTGTTTGACGCAAAATGTCAAATGGATAAAATGAATTTTTTTTACTGAAATCTCCGAGTCAAAATCAGATAATCCGAAAGACAATTAGGAGGGGAGTACTCGAGTTATGGGACTCGAATTAATTACACTCGGCCCCTTGAACCATACTTCTTAAAAAAAGAAACAGCACTGTCGCAATAAACGATCAATGATTACTTCTGAAGCCTGAACTCCTGTGATTATTAATAGTCAATGCTCTTCAATTAAATGAATTGAGCAATCTACAAAATACGTTCTACCCAGAATACAAGTATCTATATATAATTATATATTTTTTTTTTCAGCTTAAAATAAGCTGATTTGCTCTAACATTAGTTAGTTTCCCAAAATCATTTCATTTAAAATGTTCTTTCTCGATTCAAAACCTTTAATTTCATCGAAACAAAAAATGATCAAGTGACATTTTGTGACGTCACAAAATTTTAACGCGCTACGCAGAATTTCCTTTTTTCAACTTTTCCTTTGATTATGTTTTCTTTACTGTATTTTGAAATTAGTTTGGTATTCATCCCTAATTTCACGACATCAATCTCTATTACAACAAACGGTAGTAAATTATACATGTATACAGCTACTTCGAGAAAAGTTGTCGGAAAAAATGCCCAAGCGACAATCCCGAAAGGTAATAGCGGAGCTCTCGCGCGCGAAGCGCGCGCAGTGGAGCACCATGGGTGAGAAAATGTGGTAAGCTACCCATCCGATAAAATTTGGTAATCACGTGACCGTACACCGACCGACCGACTGCCCGACCGTCCGTCCGCACCACAGGCATACCAATGTAAAATAGCCTAATCAACAGGTATGGCAAGCCAAATGCAACTCGACGTTATTTTGACGGGAAGTCGCATAGTTACCCGCGTCTTGTGAAACAGAGACAACTAAGGAGTCAATGAAGACAAAAACGGAAAGCGGAAATTATCTCTGTATCCGTGTTTTCTAAAGTATTAAGGTTAGACTATTTGCCATGTCAATTAATTGGCAGGCCAGCGAAGCTCAACGAGAAAAAGGGCGACAGAGATCTAGAGCGAGACATAAAAAAACAATGGAGACATTTTTTTGTTGGAAGAACAACATGAAAGTTTTGTAGCGGCGGTAACAAAATGAGAAATGCTAGCGGCCACCAATACAAGGTGAAAATGAGCGGCAGTGGTGAACAAGAAAACGTGCGAAATTTCCTCCATAAAACGTGTAACTAAGAAGTTTCTGGAAGTTTCACGTTGTAGTCGTGCAAAACAACGGCAAAGAAATGTACAAAAAAAGTGTGCTGCACGTGCAAAGTTACTTTTTTTGCTAATTAGACCTATTGTTGTTTTTCACCGTTCTCCAGCGTTGCCTTCGCCCCTTAGCATTACACGATTTTATATTTTGTTTGAGCAAACTATAAATATTATCGAGAGCTTCGCTTTTAGCCCTGGCTAAATCTATATATTATGGGATATCATGATCATTCAAGAGAGAATGAGAATACACTGTTCCTGACACTGCAGCTGTCGAACCTACTTTTGTCGCTTTCCTTTAGCACTCGCAAACATGTGTCCATGGCCTCTCTTTTGTGATTCTTTTTAATTTCATTGAAGAAGAATGAATTCAAAACCACCCAAAATACGTTTCAGGATTGTCGCGTGCACTTTTCCAAACACCCTTTATATTTATTTATATTCATTGATAAGTTTAAAGAAGAGTGGCACGCGCTTTTTGCAGAAATAATAAAAAAAAGAATATCAGGTTAAGGTGTTTCGATACAGTTTTTCAGAGGCCATACCAATATTTTTCAATCGCCTTAAGAGTGGTTTTTCCTTGTCCGATCGCTAAAACATTTTCACCAGTAATTGGCTATGGATTGAAATTTGTGAAAATGTAGTTTTAAGTAAAAATCGATTTTACTATGACAACAATAAACAAAAAATTGATAAAAGCCGAATTTTGTGTGATCTAGACCAGCTACTGAAAATCCAACACTAGGAGCTTAAAGTTTGGTGTTTAGCAAACGATCTCCGTAAGAAGTAAAAAATTCTGTTTGAATTCGACTAACCGAAAATATATTTCAAACCTTACATTTTCAAAAGCTGTGATAGATTATTTAATAAAAACGTTATAAATGACTCAATTTTTTCTTATGTAGTGTCACAATGCTGCTTAATATCATATTTCGATGCTAGGAAATTTTGGTGTATTTTCGTTCTTGCGATCCTAAAAACTAACACGTTTTCTCACCACCTGTCTAAGTGCAACTTCATTCAAAATTTCGACTTTTAGCGCTTTTTTGTATATCTCTGAAACGAATCGACGAATTTTTTTAAAATCTCTTCACACGATCTTCATAATGTATATAATAATGTCCGAAACTTTCGTTAAGATTGATTCACTGTAACACCTTCAAATTTCAAGACAAACCTATAATACGAACCGGTCAAAAATCCGCGGTACATGATTCACTGTTTTGACGTTATGCTAATTTTTTCAAATTAATGCGGACAATACATATATCCATGACTAGTACATTTCAGTGTGAGTATTGTCAATGTTTTACATTCAAAAGATGCTATAAATTCAAACTAAAATGTACTAGTCATGGAGGTATGTATAGTGCGCATTATTTTGGAAAAGCTAGCATAACTTCAAAACAGTGAATGTTGAAATTTTCGTTTTGGTCGAGTTCAAGCATACAGAATTTTTTACTTCTTACGGAGGATATTTGCTAAACACCAAGCTTTACGTTCCTAGTGTTGGATTTTCATTAGCTAGTCTAGATCGCGCAAAATTTGGCTTTTATCAATTTCAAAGTTTTTTGTTTATTGTTGTCATAGTAATATCGATTTTACTAAACCTACATTTTGACAAATTTCAATCTACAATCAATCATTAGTGAAAATTCTATAGCTATCAGATAAGAATAAAATCACTTTTAAAGCGATTGAAAAATATCGGTATGGCCTCTGAAAAACTATATCGAAACACCTTGAAAAGAAGATCCAAAGTCTCAAGAGCAACTAGACTAGGAAAATGGTTGTTGAAAAGATGACTGTGTTTTCTGCATATAAAGTGGTAAAACTAAATTCTTGACGAAACAGTTCGACTAAATCTGTCGAATGCTTGAAACGCGTTAGATCTTTACCTAGATGAGTATTTCTCTCTTTGGTCTCGACAGCAGTAAAATATTTTGGTGCTTCATGGTATTTTTAAACATTCAATAGTAGTTTCATTAGCTATACATAAAAACTAAATATTCTCCTTTTGAAGCATCCATGATCCCAGTCAATCCACCTTACGCCAATAACGATCGCGACACATTCATCTCAAACTCTATTTCATGTACTCAACTCATATTTATTGTTTTAACTCGCTCAAGTCAGAAAAACATACCCGGTAGTTCTACAGTTAAACCATCTTGTGAAACTAAAAACGATAAGTTAGTCGCACTAAATAAATATATAGAAAATTTCTATAGATCGATTCACATATAAATTGTGTAAAATTAGAAAATAAAAAAAAAAGCAGAAGGGTAGGAAAAAGTGGGATCTCCGTACCAGTTTTTGTTTAAAAACGTTAAGCATCAAAGCAAGGCGCTGTCGGGGAGTTTATTTTACGCGACGGACGAGAAAGACAAAGAAAATTCCCCCACCCCCGCTTCCTTTCTTAAAAACACTGAAAAGACTTTTATCACTACTTTTTGTTTAATAAACACTTTCCATGAAATCAACATTTAATAATGAACTACAGATTAAATTCATACAATTAACGCATTTTAACGACTATGTCGAGGTTTCTATTCAACCATATATAAGTACAATTTCTATTCCAAATACTCAGCGGAATGCACAATTAACAGAAAATGATGAGTTCAGCTAAAAAGGGTTGGCGGCAGACTAGGAACTGGCCCGGCCAGACGTGCGCGAAAAATTATGGGAGAGAATTCACTAAAAAGCTTTCAAAAATGCAAGAAAAAAATCGAACTTGGGGACAGGTCGTGATCTGATTGTCATTTCTTAATTCAGCTTCAAGATCCGGAGAAGTTGGTGTCGTTGCTGTCGTTGGTGTTTCAAAAATTTTTCTATAAAAGGACACTAAAAATATAGAAAATAAAGGAAAACAATCAGCAATGAACACCAAGAAATCGGTTTGGCAAGGAATATTGTTATCGATGATCGGTTTGAAACTTTCAAATTGCAGCTGCGATGGTTAATGGATGTTGGCTTAGTAAATGACATTCATTGATATTTACTTTGGATGAGCATGAGAGTATCTGGCGACCAAGCGACCAAGCGACCAAGCGCTATTTAAGGGCCGCCTTTGAAACCGTCTTCAAAAAAGAGTTGCAAAATGAAAGTTCATTAAACATCTGCTGAGTTGTTGGCAATAGTTTCACTTGCAAAGTTGACCTTTCTGTGACCTTTTTTCTTTCTTTTTTTTTCTCCACGCCTTTGTTTGCTCTTTTTTTCCAGGTTATTTGCATACCCTTCGATCAGGAGAATGTTCTTCACAAATCAGATCACCATTGGTTGAAAAAAAAAAGATAAAATGGGTAAAAATAAATATGATAAAATTTTCCTTCAGTCCAATGTCTTCAATGTCTGACGCAAAAAACAGATGAGAATGCTTAATAACCTTGATGAAGAAAGACTTTCAATACGACCTTCGTAATAACTAAGATAAATTGATTCTGCCTAAAAGGTGTAAGTTTGGATGCTAAAAGAAGATATATCTCCGCGGACATAATAGACAATCTCTTGTCATTACTTTTGGCGTTTAATTCCTTTCTCTTACTCCACATACTAGTAGTTTCAATTCCCTTTTGATGTCTTGCTTCAAAAACGCATAGACCAAGGGATTCACAGCCGAGTTTATCACCAACATCAAAACAAGAATCGCTGAGAATAAATTGAAATTAGAAATGTCCGATGAAACTGTCATATAAAGAACAAAAGAATTTATCACTGCATGACAACCCAAAAAGAAAGTTACTATGGTGGTCAGAAAAAGCTTCGTTTTCGGTTTTTTGGGTCTGCAGGAAGATATGCATTCAACAGATGATGGATTTCGTAGTTCTATAAAGGCATCATTTCTCCGGATGACAGACATCTCTTGGGCCTTCCTCCTTGCCACAAAGAGGAGGCGAGAAATAAGATAGAAAAGCAGTACACAAGCTGATATGTCAAAAGCAGACACCCCCATTAGTCTGAGAATTTTCCAAGCAGTAGGAGAGGATGCAGCATACATTCCTAAAGCAAGCGACAAGGATATCGCGAAGGGAACGGACCATGCGAGGGCGATAGCTATTCCAGGACGCCTTGCAGTCATGCAGGTGATATACTTGAACGGGTGGACGATAGCGATGTAACGATCCCAAGTCAAAGTGCAAAGATTTGTGACCGACGAGTGAGTGAAGAACCAGAAGGACGCCATGTAAACCCTCATGTTACAAGCGATCTTTCCGCATAGATATCCTGAAGGAAAAAGACAGACGCCCACCCCAAAATCAGCCAAGGCCAATGAAAGAACGAGCCAGTTAGATGAAGAGCGTAGCCGTGTCCTTTTGGCGATAAGCAAAACTATAAAACCGTTTCCTACAGCTGTTGCGACGGAAAGAATCCACCCAATGTAGTAAAACCAATCTTCCATGGTGAGTTAGTCGTAATGCCACGAAAGGTAGTCTATGTATGATTTGGAGACTCTTGGTGCGTAACTATCAAAAATAATAAGACGCTATTAATTTATAGCGTAATTCTTATGCCATCACTGCTTTTACCTGCAACATTGGACAGTAATTGTAAATTTTCTTCTTTTCCGTGACTGTGTACATCATGAAATGATATATTTTACTATATACATACTGAGCAATACTCACCAAAAAGCTATGTCGTAAATTTTCGTACGCAAATTAGTTCTAGCCAATCAGAGGAGCGAACGATGGTTTTCACTCGTGAGAAAAATGATACGTCCAATCAGAAGCACAGAGGTGTGTGAGTTTCGCGCCAAACTTCCCGCCTTTTATAGCAGCTTGCAGCGCCGCTTCGCACACATTCAATGAGAAAAGTTTTACTCAAAGAGTTTTTCTCGCTAAAAAAGGGAAAAATATTTCGGAAATGGAGTGGAATAGTTTCGTTTGTTTCACTGTCGATAAAGAAAGCGGTAGAGAGCCGGCGAAACAACAGCGGAAAGAGGAAAACAGAACGAGAGGTAAGCTTTTGTTGTGCTTTTTGTCGGAGCTACTTTGCCTTTCATTTAAGCTTAAGCTTATATTGAAACCGGCCATTTTACGTAAATTCACTCATTTTCAATTGTGCATTGAGAACAAACAGTTAAGATTACTTATCGTTCTTGGATTACCTCATATCCTTACCGTCATTTATGTTTTTAACAAACGTTTTTACCAAAAGCTGATGCTTCGTTTTCGTTGTCATTTTGCAGTGAGTGTAAAGCGGCAAATTTTAGCATTTTTGAAAAAAATTAAAATAAAAAGGCTGAATGGTTTAAAATAAAAAGGCTGCCATCTCAGTATGTATATAATAAACACAATACCACATTGAAAGTGCTTTGTACGGTATTTACGCACTCGTTGTTTTTGTATCAGAAATCTTACTCGTTCGCTGCGCTCACTCGTTCGATTTCTGATACGTCAACAACTCGTGCGTAAATACCGTACGCCAGCACTTTCCATGAAGTATTCTCTTTGTATTTCACAATACTCCTGCAGAGGGCCGAAATTGTATGAACTTCCTGAAATTAAACTAGGGGTTGATCTATCAAAATGACTAAATGAACAATTACGCCATGTTCAAACCACTAAAAACTACTAGTAGATGATGGGCTCTTTTCCTTTCTAAAGGTCATTTGAGGGTCTGGATGGGGGCGTCCAAACGTCAGTTGTCAGTTAATAATTGTTGATAATGATCCATGTAAAGCTTATTTGTTTATTCATGATTAGATATTTAGCTAAAAAGCCATATATGATGTAAATTCTTCATTAAATTCGAAACCTGATACAAGAGTACCTTATTTTTATCAGCTTTGCTATTGACAGCATTTCAAGTGCCTTCCATTTCTCAAGTCTTATTTTACTCTCCTCCATGCAAACGATTTTGCTAGCCAGACTCCAACATTTCCAGCCATTAAGCCAATCAAAATTTATTCCTCGCGAAGCGAGGCGCGGAGCGCCGAGCCGCGAGGTTTATAATCTCGTCGCGCGCAAAGCGCGTGTATATCACACAAGCATCGCAAGGCCAGCGTGATTTCCTCTTGGCTATAAATGGCTATAAATCTATCGAGTTTGGTTGGTGTCCGCCTTGACGTCATCCAGTTAGTGACGTACGAGCGCATTATGGGTTTCCAGGCAACCGATTGCCATCGACGACAAAGCTCTAGGTTTTATTCATGAAGACGGTTTTTTTTCATCTGTGAATTATAACAATGTTTACGGTCGGTAAATCACCCAATATCTCAGGTAAATAAAAGAGAACAGCAAACTTAACAACGGTGGATTCAACAAGTGGCTGGAAATCCTCGCTGGGAAAGACTTACAAACAAAACTCCGCAAGAGCGAGGACGTCCGACTTTAAATTCAGCGCAAGTAACGGCACAGCAAAGGCAAACACTGTCAACTAGAGCCAGAGGTTATGCAGCGACCACGAATACGTAAAGAGTTAGCAACAAAATACTACAGTTACACTGCAAAAGAAGCCGACGAACAGAGGGAACACCGACTGCCGACGTTTCAGTATTCGGTCAATAGAATTCGCAAGGAGAGGCAAGTTCACAGTCAAAATTATCTTCTTCGATACAACGATAGGAAGCAAGAATTACACCATCAGTAAAATCGACACGAGGAGTATCTTTGCAACGGACTGAGGACAGCCGATCAGCCTTTTCACCGTTTTAGAGTAAGCTTTATTTTACAATGAACAGTTTACAACACCGATAATGTGTGACATGTAGGGAAGCGTTACATTTTGTAAACAAAATCCTTACTGGGGAGAATTTTTCGTTTAAGCTTACAATTTTCATTCAATTTCCTTCACAAGTAAAATATATGTATAGCAGTCTTATACATAAACCCAGCTGTGTCTTTTAAGTCAAACATGACAAAAATTTGTTATTGCTGGCCCCCTATATTTTTGTTCCTATATTATTCGAAAATAACATCAGTATTTCGGATATCCTCAGAATGTTAGTGTGTGACATGGTTGCCATGCCAGGAACGTTAATTCCTTTCGCTGTTAGGGAAAATTTAACAGGTCACGCATAAAATTTCACTCTTTCAAAGAAGCCATACAGAGGTGACATATTCATTTGTTCCATTGGCAGATGAAGATTGTTTCAAGAAATTAAACGACATGCAAGCAGATATTTATGTAGGGTTTCCCATAAGATCAATCCATCCTGCTTTACATTCATGATAGATGCATGTAATGCAGGGAAAGTGTTCATTTGCCTCGTCTCAGTCTGGGAAATTAAAAATCTATGGCTCTGGCACTGTCTCAACAAGCTCATGCATGTTTAGAATTGAGACCAATGGAGAAACTGATCACCTTCAATATAACTTGTTTGTGGACATTTCATACAAATTCACTCTTGCATAGGGATTTGTTTCTTATGCATGTACACGGAAAACTATGAACACTTGCCTAACCGGTAAAAAATTGGTACTTTTTACATGGATTCAGTTCTTTAAGGTGAATGCCCACACATACAATAATCATAAGTCATGATCACTTTAGTAATTCTCATGAACTGCATCCTTAATGACATTGCCACTTGTAATTTTCTACTTCAGTGATTTTGTTTGCACTTTACTGTTACAAACAATAGTTGTCGAGTGTGATTATGTACCAAAAAAAGTGCAAACACTTTTATAGCTGTAGTTCGCCGAACAATAATTTTTTTCTCCAATTGGCAGCATTTAGTTGTTGAGCATTATCTCCTAGAATTGCCATCCACTCACTTCTACTGACACATTTCACAAATAATTATTGCACTTAAGGGTGAGTTTTTATTAAGCAAATGCAACTGAATATTAGCCGGCAGTTATCCACTATCACCCCCATTTCCTTTTGACCATAATTACACCCATGTAGGAGGGTCAAATGGAGTGAACATGGGGGGATGGGACCTATGCAGCATTCGCTAACAACAGCAACCCCATTTAAATCTCAGAAGATCCTTTTTAAAGCCAGAGCACTAGGTTCAAATTTAATCCACAGGAGATTAAGTACATCTCAGCTTCCAATATTAGATCCACCCTCCCCAGTTACATGATTTACTTCATTTCTCTCCTGTCCTCCCACCCCTTATGGGCTCCCCCCCGAGCTTCGCAAGGTTCTGCGATACACGTATTTCTAGTACCTTCAGAACATTGAGAAGTAGATCTTGTGAAAAACCAAGAAAGACTGTATTAGAATCATCTCGTGAAACTTACAACTGCTTTTACAACGCCCTCATTAACAGCTATCGAGTGTGCTGGCGCGTTCTCAGAGGAGCGTCAATTTGAGATCACAGGCATAGGTCATTTACAACACGCATGAGTTTTACAGGGTGATAGGCTCCTGGCTTTACAGTAAATCATTAACGATAGACGATACTTAAGCCAAGATAACCGATATAAACGCATTTGATGACATTTTCTGATGAAAAGAGTGGAACAATGTTAAAAAAAAGGTCTTAAAAACGTGTTTGGAACAAAATAAAGGACAATAAGGTCCTTTGTCAGTTGTCAGTAAAACCCAAGGCAAATGTCAGTTGTCATTTAAATTTTAGGCTATTTGTCAGTTGTCAGTTAAAATTTTGGCCATTTGTCAGTTGTCAGTTAGCCCCATCCAAACCCTTGTGCTACAATAGTTGTGTGCTTTTCGGATTACATTAAGTGACCCTTGATATTTAAATTGTAGTTGGTGGCGTGGTGTTTTCGTCGATTGTTGCAGTTGTAATAAAACTACGCAGAAACTGCTATTTTGCGGCCAAAATTTATTGACTGAATAAACTTGCTTTAGACCGCTGTTTTGCTCCAGTGTCGCCTCATTGCAGACATTAACAGGAGATTTAATTTTGGACAACGTTGTTATGGCAGTCTTCCCTGCTAGCTTTGACTACTAACTATGCTTTTGATAATGAGCATTTCAACTAGTTTGCGAACATTACCAAATTAAATGAACAATAGTAGCTAATAGTCTTTTCGTCGACAGTGCATCACATTCAATTGTCTTCTGTTCAGTTCAACTTTTTTTTGTCTTTATAAATTCATTTACTTTCCGAAGCCCTAAATTTAAAGAGATTAATAACTTAAGATTTAGAATTAAATGCCAAACAGCAAACACTGCTCAGAACTTTCCTTATCAGACGAACGGAACTAAAGGTACTCAAAACGGTCAACAAATAAACATGCAACTTATCTTGCAACATTGCTTCAAAACGAGTAGCGATGATGTGCGTTTAACCACCTACATCAAGCAGTCTTGCACCAAATAAGGTTGTTAACAGGTTTGAACGTAAGTGGTAATACGCACAACATCGCCTTTCAACTCGTTTTGAAGCAATGTTGCAAAAGAAGGCGCATGTTTTTGTTGCCAGTTTTATCGAAGCTTAAATGATCTTCCTTATGAAAAGGATTGGGTAGACTAACATAACAG